AAAGCAAAAATAAAAAAAAAACACCTATCACATTTTTTGCGCACACCCCATCCCTCAGGAGGGGTTGAAATAGGGTCGAATGATTAAGCGTTTTGCATTGATTTTATTCGTTTGTTTACATTTTTTGTGTATTTTGGTTAATAAGTGTAGCTTTCAATTTGAATACCGGTATTTGATTTATAATTTAGGCCACATTGACGTTGTGACGTTTTGTGTGGACATTACGAAATCAGAGGGGATTTCCCATAGTATATGTCGGTAGCGGGCGTCAGCAGAAACTATTTAAACACTCCTCACGCTCATTCACAAATGAACTATTGATTTTAACCGATGTAGTCTAGGACCTGACTAAGACTTAATTTAGGAGAGATTATCTCATCTGTTATAGACTAATATGAACCCTAGGAACAACATGGGATGTGCGGCAAAATCTCTATCCGGGACGAACAGTCCGAAAATGACCACACCCATTTTTAAACGGCCACGCCCCCTTTTTCATTAAAAATGCTACCGTTTTTAAGTAGACTAGACATTATGAACATATTAAAAACAAGGGGTTTTCTTTTAACACATGATGAGGGGATCAAATTTCAGAAGTCTCACCTGAATCATAAGTCCCGTTCATTATGGAAATTAGCTTAAATAAGCAAAATAGGGGACCACGCCTCCTTTTTTTACAGGAAGTATTACTTTAAATAGTAGGCTAGACAATCTGAACATATTGCAAACAAGGGTAAATGAACACATGATGAGGGGTTAACATTTCAGAAATCACACCGTGGTCACATGCCCCGTTCATATGCATCGGAGAGCCACTGACAGTGATTCAGTTTTTGGCAATCCTGTCCGGCCAACTGAGTGTTGTTTTTTGCTCTCTGTTATCTTGTGTTTGTCAATTTTAATTTTTTTGGACGATAAATAAATGAAATGAAAATGAAATTAGCTTGAATATGCAAAAAAATATAGGGCCACGCCCCTTTTTCAATACAAGTGCTATTTAAAACAGGCTACACATTATGAACATATTGACAACAAGGATTTTCTTTTATAAATAGACACATGATGAGGGGGAATCAATTTTCCTAAGTCACACCTTATTCACAAGTTTCGTTCATATGCAAATTAGCTTAAGTATACAACAAAATAAGAGTCATGCCCCCTTTTTAACTGGAAGTACTATTTTAAACAATAGGCTAGACAATCTAAACATAGGGCAATGTTAAATATATGGCATAATGGACGAGGGAATCTATTTGATGGCTTTAGTATGTCAATTCTTCATCACAATTAAATGAGGTATTGGAATGTTGACTACTTGATTTATTGATTAAAGAATTACTGGTTTTCCAAGTTGCCTTGATATCATTTTTATGTTTAAGAAATGTATTTTGACAATGTTTTCTTTTTGTATTTTTGAATTTTTGATTTTTAATGTGAGACATCCATGTGCCAAATCTGCATGGAAATCAACCCTTATGGTATATTTCACATGTTGGTTATTATAGATTAAAATGTGATCAAAGCCCAATTTTAGGAAAAATGTGCGGATGGATTTATTTTCACACACAGGCTTTATTTTCCAGTCTTTCGGCAGCTTCTGTAGGTATATGCTGTCCCTGTCAGAGAAATCATCTCCCATCGGACAAATCCTAATGCAACCGCTAATGCAGCAGAGTAGTTATGTATTTTATAGACATGGGCTCCATGGATTTCTCCCAACATTTGCTAATATTGTTTTACACTTACTGCAGATGTCCACAGGAGCTCAAGATGTGTATAAGAGACAGATGAGGGGGAATCAATTTTCCTAAGTCACACCTTATTCACAAGTTCCATTCATATGCAAATTAGCTTAAGTATACAACAAAATAAGAGTCATGCCCCCTTTTTAACTGGAAGTACTATTTTAAACAAGGCTAGACAATCTAAACATAGGGCAATGTTAAATATGTGGCATAATGGACGAGAGAATCTATTTGATGGCTTTAGTATGAAAGTCGTCAATACCTGGGGATTTGTTGGTTTTAAAAGAAGCAAGTACTTGGGTAACTTCAGCCTCATCAACTGTAGTAAGATATATGGAATTATTGGTTGGGTTTGGGAGAAAGTCTTTGAATGATTTGTTAGGATGGGGAATTTTGTTTGAAAGGGAAGGTCCAATTTTGACAAAGCATTTGTTAAGCATTAGAGATTTTATCAGGATCATTTGGTCAATTCTTCATCACAATTAAAGGAGGTATTGGAATGTTGACTACTTGATTTATTGATTAAAGAATTACTGGTTTTCCAAGTTGCCTTGATATCATTTTTATGTTTAAGAAATGTATTTTGACAATGTTTTCTTTTTGTATTTTTGAATTTTTGATTTTTAATGTGAGACATCCATGTTTGAATTTCGGTTAAAAAGCATTGAAGCTTTTGGGTTGGTTCTAATTTTTTTTTTAGTCATCTTGGTGTCACAAGGGATTCCATTTTATAACAAAAATGCATGTAACAAAATGTAGGTATTACAGTATAAAGGGATTGAGTGGCTAAATGCAAATTATAAAAATTATGACCTTAATATAAATAATATAGGTCCTAATTAAAATAACAGTCACCTTGATCACATAAAATACCTCCACTCTCGCTGCTGCACAAATACAGCAATTAATAAATTGTTGTATTTCTTTTCCTTGTTGGAGGGAGAATCTACTGTACAGTCTATTTTAAGGAGCAGTTTGTGATTATCCTTTCTCCATTTTAAGGGCTCCTTCAAGTAATTTGATACCATTTTATTATAATAATTTGCCCTTCAATTGAATTTCATTTTTTTACAGTATTTTTTAAGTGTTGCTTTTTAACTTTGTTATGGTAATTTTTTATACGTTTTATACATTCTCTGTACAGCAACTACATTTTAATGTATTTTATAACTGAATATCTTAATTTTAATTGTTTAAAAATATTTTATGGTAGGCCTAATTTATATTATGTAAACTGTATGTACACATAATTAATTATTAATATTTGTATGTATTTCATTTGGTGGATGGGGCAAGGAGGTATAAATTTATACCCTTAGATGGGGCTGGAGAACCACATACAAAAACGGTACCGTACCGAAACTTACCGTCGGATCCGGTACAGGACCTGAAAATAACGGATCCGGTACCGGACCTCTAGTCACAGCGAAAATCTATTCGAATTCGCCAGTTCGTCATTTTCTGAGACGGTTTTATCCTTTGGTTTGATTGACTTTTTTACGACTGAGTTTAACACAAATATAAAATTGGATCTAGGCTAACAAGGCCTTTGAGGCTACTAGAAAAAATATGCCTAGGCTAGGTAGGCTAGCCTAGCCCCTACGCCCTGGCTGGCTGGTCGGCTGGCTGGGTCTAGTCTCTCATCATACTCTCTAGAGGCCCCTACTAGGCTAGGGGCCTATGCTAGCTTAGGTAGCGCGTGGCGAGCCCAGGCCTCCTACCCTAGGCCTACTCTAGCCTAGGGTAGGCCCTGGCCTAAGTCAAAGTGGGCCCAGGCTAGGTAGCTCCTCCACCCGTTCTACTCTAGGACTGTGGGGCCTATCCACTACCTAGGCTTAGGCTAGTAGGCTCCTACTAATAAAGGCCTAGGCTAGGCCTAGTATAGTGTTGCGAGCATTATGTAGGTCTAGGCAGGTACGTACTTAGGCAGGTGTAGATGCTAGACCTCTCGTTAAGCCTGGATGCAGCTAATTTAAAACTTAAGGAGTGGCGCGCCAGCAGTAAAGTGGGTTGCCGTGGGAGGGTTTTGCTCAGAGAGCCACCATCAGATGGCAATTGCCTCGCCCAACACTTTAAAGTTTTTTAAGTGTTGGGGGAGGGAGTGTTTTTTATATATTTAAATTATCTATATTGATTGTATTTTGATGTCATTAATGTATCTTCTGCCAGCTGGTGTTATTATTGAGCCTAGTATGTTTTAATGTGCTTTTTCTTGTGTATTTTAATGTTTTGTCCTTGTTGCAGTTTTGTATATAATATTTTTAATATTCTATATTTTTGTAATTTACATTCATTTCAGCCTTTGGCTGCTATTTATATATTTTCTTTTATACCTGAATAAATAAATAAATAAATAAATAAATAAAAAATAATACTAAAAAAACTGGCTCAAATTTGCATTGAAAATTGCTGCAAAAAATAGATGCACAAACTACTGCATAACACTTATGTATTAAGATTAAGTCAAAGCCTAATTTTAGGCAAAATCTGCATGGAAATCAACCCTTATGGTATATTTCACATGTTGGTTATTATAGATTAAAATGTGATCAAAGCCCAATTTTAGGAAAAATGTGCGGATGGATTTATTTTCACACACAGGCTTTATTTTCCAGTCTTTCGGCAGCTTCTGTAGGTATATGCTGTCCCTGTCAGAGAAATCATCTCCCATCGGACAAATCCTAATGCAACCGCTAATGCAGCAGAGTAGTTATGTATTTTATAGACATGGGCTCCATGGATTTCTCCCAACATTTGCTAATATTGTTTTACACTTACTGCAGATGTCCACAGGAGCTCATGTTTAAAGTAAAGTCTGTTTTATTTTCTTCCTTTATCAGAGTGAGATGGCTTCTATCCATTCAGAACTGTCTTTAGATAAACATGCTATTGGCAGGTACAGCAGGCAACTGATCCTACCTGAAATAGGAACAAAAGGTAATTCAGACCAAGAGTGATAGTGTTAATTTGCTTTGATACTATCATGGGGCTGAGTAATCTGGTATTGAAACTGGTCATGAAAACTACTTGAACAAAATGCTTATATTCCTCTTATAACACGGAACGGAAGGTACAAGCTAAATTGGGATAAGTACATTGTATATTACTATTAGTACTATTGCTTTAACATGCTTTATTCATGGAAACTGTTCAACAATCGTCCAAGAACCATTATGGCGATATAATTAACGATATATTATAACTAGCAAAATACTGTTATCAACTTTATTTAATCTTATTATTGACTAGCAATATGTTATCAATATTATTACTTATCGACTAACAAGAACAGATAAACGTCATAACATTGCAAGTTTAGGCAGTATCAAATACTATAGTGTAATTACACATGTGAGCAACCATTGCAGTACATGTTAAAAAGCTAAAACAAAACATCTTCCTGCTATGAAAACCAAATATCTTCTAACGCAGGAGCTGATAAAAATGCATTATAAACAGCAAGCCACTTGCTATGCAAATTGCATAACACTAACACGCGAATGCAGATGCAACGATCTATGCAGTAGGTGCAGCGATCCATACAAAAGCAAAACAATAGGGAATGCGGCAAAGCATTATTCCAGTCCACGACAGTACTGTAGACCACCCTAATTTGTATTTTGGTACGGGGGGCAGGGGTGGCGCCAGGATTTTCCACACCCCCATGGGGGGAGGGGGTTGAGTCTGATTATTTTACTTAAAAAATGTTGGGATACTGAGGGTGGCTCCACACCCACCCCTCTCAAAGATGCGCCATTGTAAGTTATAAATTTTGCCAGTAAAACTATAGATGACAAGTTACACTTCTATTTTCAGGACAGAAATCAATTATGAATTCATCAGTATTAATTGTGGGGGCTGGTGGCCTTGGGTGTCCAGCCACATTATACCTAGCAGCAGCAGGCATTGGTATGTTGCAAGAAATGTTTTTCTAGTAATTTTGCAGGGTGCCCCAAGTCGTCTGTATTGAGTCATAGCAGTCTGATAGGATATCTGTGAGATAAACCACACTTGTGATGAAGAAAGCATTCTTATTAATCTCTTGCAAATTCAGAATGGTTGAATGCTTATACAGTTCTCGGTTTGCATGGCGAAGAAATTATTATTAAATTCTTGTGGTACACCACATGGATAATTCTGGGAACAACTGTTTTTTTTTTTGGTTGAGAATGTCTCAACGTTCTGATATTGCTTCAGTCATCATCAAGCTGAATAATAAATATTATTATTCACCTGATGACAGTTGAAGCAACTCAATCGAAACGCCGAGACATTCTCAACAAAAACTGATTGTTTTTTCATGTATCAGATTTTTATGTTAGATTCCTAATTCTTATTGGTTTATTAATCAAGGAAAGCTTGGTATTATTGATTATGATGAAGTTGAGCTGAGCAACTTACATCGTCAGGTTCTCCATAAAGAAACAAATTTAAACGTTAAGAAGGCAGAGTCAGCAAGCACATATGCGATGGAGTAAGTATTCTATAATTAATATTGGATTCAGATTTTCTCTAGTTTGTAACATACCAAGGATAACATGGTAAACCGAAGACTTACTTTTGGTGGGGTCCTTCTGGTGGTGAAATATGAGGCATGTCGTGGCAAAATGGTTAAGTTGTCGCACAGGCCAGTATTGAGTAAATGAGCTATAAAATATGAAGCTCAAAAAATTACCTAAAATTGTTTTTTATTATATATCAACAGTTTAATGTTTTATTAATCATTTCCCAAAGTATTATTTCTGGAAGTGGTCAACAAATTGTTTTTTTAACGTTATTTTGATGGTCAATTCTATTAAACAGTGTATGCACAAATAACTTTGGAAGGCAATTACTCAATATCATGTTTATCTTGACTCTAAGAGTGCTGTACTTTCATTTTCCAATAACTTGGATTCATTGAAATGCCCAATTTCAATGAATAACCTCTCATTTTAAAGATTCTATACTCTGGTATCTGAAAACACCAATAACTTGAATTTCAGTTTTTGCTACAACTTAGCCATGCCACAACTTGCCTCAAATGGCAAATATGCCAACACACAATCATCTAGCTCTTTTCTGAAGAGTGAGTGTGCTGTTTTTTTTATCTTGCACTTGGCCATATTTATAAACAATTTTAGGCTTTTAATTAATTTGTGTAGTTTCTTTATTTTATATTTTCATCATGTAAAGCCTGGTTTCCTTAAAATCATTACACTGTTGGATGTGCAATAAATAAATAAATTACACTGTTGGATGTGCAATAAATAAATATATTTCACTCAGGTCCAACACTTTAGGCATTTAATCTGAAAGATGATGGACTGTTGTGACTAGCATTCAACCTATAGCAGGAACACAGCAAAAGGAATTACCCCAGAGAATAATGGTCTAGCTCAGAAAATGATCTCCATAGTTTAATGCACACAACATCATTTTAGCCATTCTGAGATAAGCTGATCCTTTAGTTTCTTGTAATTCTATTGATTTTTGCTCTTTACAGACTCAATTCAGGCTGTCAATGTATTCCCTATCATGTACAACTTGATAGCACAAATGCAATGGACATCATTAAAAAGTATCCTTCTGAGATAGCAATACCACTTATGAGATAGCAATACCACTTATGAATATTCATAATGTGTTTGCATATTCATGCTATGAATATTCATAGTGTGTTTGAATATTCATATTATGAATAGTCACAATTTGTTTGAATATTCATGTTATGAAGGTATAATTTTTGCATCAAGAATTTCAATGTGTGGATTCATTTATTTGATGATTTGAAATAATATTATTTTAACACCTAGTAGCATTGTATAACAATCATTGTTGTTTTTGTAGAGGGGCCCTTTAAGTCGGCATTGCTGTTAGGGTCACCCTCATTAAATGAAGAGTTTAAAAAAAATTATATATTTAATTAATAGAATAGTTGTATATAGCATTGATATAATACTGTATTACAATAGTATTATATTAAACAAAGAATATATGTTTTCCTTGATGACCTAATTGCTAGCTATGATATAGTTTTAGACTGTACGGACAATGCGGCTACAAGATATTTGTTAAATGATGCTTGTGTTCTGTCTAAGAAGCCGCTCGTCTCTGGAAGTGCCCTTAGATTTGAAGGCCAGGTCAGTTTAAATTAATTTAAATTATTTAAAAGCATTATCTCAGGTTAAATCATCAAAAAGTATGGTTTTTATTATACTTAGATTTGTGTCATCACTGATCACTGATTATGCTAGTGCGCATTTAATTCCATTCATGTATTTATCTTATATTGTTTCATTATAAACTGTTAATGCTTTTAATTCAGCTTGTTCTGCCCAAGTACAGAGATGCAGGTCTCCCTCCAATTAAAGACCTCTTTTGGGACCAGAGTTTTCATGGTCTTTAGCAGTTTTGGTCCCTAATTAGAAGAATCAAAATAAAAAATATATTTTAATTTGAGACACAGTAAAGAGGTCTTTAACTGGACCACTTCCAATTAAAGACCACTTTTCTGTGGTCACAATAACCAAATGTCTTGTATTTTTATTTTTCTAATTAGATACCAAAGCTCCTAAAGACCAAGGAAACCCTAACCAAAAGTGGTCTTTAATTAAAGGGCGACCTGTATTAATTTAATTCAGGCTTAAACGGAGATTTTTGAAACATTAAGTTCTTTTTAGCTTCTTCATTATTTAATTTTTGACCTTATCTACTGTTTAAACTTCATTACAGTTGACTGTATATAATCATGAAGGAGGCCCGTGTTACCGGTGTCTGTACCCAAAACCTCCCCCTCCTGAAGCTGTTACCAACTGTTCTGATGGTGGTGTGTTAGGTCCAAGTAAGTTGAACATCTGTGTTAGGCTTTGTGTATACTATCAATTGCTATGTGACAATTACCAGTGATTTTCCCATATATAGGTGTGATAAGACACCA